CCTAGTTGATCTTTTTATACGTTATATACTGAGTCAAAAAAACAACTTCACAAAATGTAATTTGAAAAATAATGAATAATTTTTCTCTGATGATACATCTATGTATCCGAAATGGGATCCCTATCTGTCGACTCTTGAAAAACGTTAGCAAAACCCACTCAAACCCATCCATTCGTCGTGGAAATGACGTTAGTGCCAAATAAGGTTTTGCACGTGCAGTCGATCACGTGATCTTTGCATCGAAGTTTTCTTCATATGCACGTGTTTGCATTGGCCTCAAGAATTGAAAAAACACTTTTAAACCACACTTCTAACGGTACTTGAAATGCCACGATTGTCAAATGTGCAACGTGAACGTGCCGTTGGCATGTTGCAAGCGGGAAGATCAGTTATTGACGTCGCAAGAGCAATGGGATGCAGCCGTCGTACTGTGTATGACTTGCGAGGTCGTCTACAACAAACTGGCACCACTTCTGATCGCCCAAGGTCGGGTCGTCCACGTGTGACGTCACGAGCAGAAGACCGTCAAATCGTCCTACGTCACCTAGGTGACAGATTTCGGCCGGCTACACGAACCAGGGCTGAGATGTTTAGAGGTCGACTGTCCTCACAGACCATTCGAAATCGGTTGCGGGCTGCCAATCTCCATTCTCGACGTCCATATCGTGGGCCAATATTGACGTCACCTCCTATGGACCCAGAGAGACTGGAATCGAGTCGTCTTTAGCGATGAATCCAGGTTTACCCTCAGATTCGCGGACGGCAGGCATAGAGTCTGGAGACGACGTCGTGAACGGTATGCCCAATGTTGTGTACAGGAAGTCGACAGATTCGGGGGCGGAAGTTGCATGGTGTGGGGTGCTTTCTGTGGGAACAACCGTTCCCGACTTCTGGTCATCCGTAGAAACTTCACAGCTGCTGCCTACCGCGACCAGGTGCTCACCCCTGAACTCGTTCCTTTCATGGCGGCTCATGGCCTAGGTCTACAGTTCCAGCATGATAATGCTCGGCCGCATACCGCGATGTTGACACGAAATTTCCTTCAAAACGCTGGAAACAACGTCATGAACTGGCCATCGAGGTCCACTGACCTTAATCCAATAGAGCACGTTTGGGATGCACTTGGGAGAAGGCTTTGTGGTCTTAGGAACCAACCTCAGAATTTGCAGGAACTTGGCGCTGCCTTGCAAGAGCAATGGCGCAGAATCCCCAACCACGTATTCACAAGCATCAGGCAGTCGATGAGGAGACGGTGTTTGGCAGTGGTGAATGCGCGGGGCAGCCATACACGATATTGAACTGAGAAATTTCGCATTTTTATTCTTGTGACTTGACATTCTGTATACCCATGTTTTGGAACGGCGGTGTAGCCTAATGGAACTGATTATGGCACTGTCAGTGTATCGAGTACATCACACAGATCTCAGCAATGAAATAATCACAATTTAACCATCTTACCATCTCTTGTTCTTTTATAGTGCCCTGAAGAAAGAATGTGAAGTTTCTTTTTTGACTCAGTATATTTCATACTGTGATCAAGTGCAACAAGCAACTAACACTTGTCAGTACGGTACTTTGAGCACTTGAGATTATACAATGGTTTAGAATTTCATAGGTGATGGTATCCGATAAATACCCCAAGTTCTAAAGTCATATTAAGTTCTGTTTTCATATGAAATACATCCTCGTTCTTGTCTCTATTCTAACTACATAGTCATCAGAGGCATATTCAGTCATATAATAATACTCATTCTTACAACAATATTGTAATATATATACATTGACATAGAGATACTAATTGTATTCGGACTGTGTATCTCACATATTATGGGTAGCCGGTTGTTACATACTATACATTATTCTCCAGTTGCTTCTCCTTAATATTACTTGATAGGATCAAGTTTCATCAGTGTTTCAATGTATTCCCTCAATCCCTCACATATGTATCTATGTTGTTCGTTGTCTTCTCGTACACCACAAAGCATTTACTGAATGTTGTACCTTAATTGTTCATAGTCATATCGACGATTATAGATTACGTCCATGCTTTCTATGACTGCGATCTTGTATCTTTTTATGTCATTTCCATATTATGAATATGACAAGTAGGAACTGGATAATGAGTCGTCCTACAATTCGCATTTGTACGTAAGTATCGTACTTTGTCTTAATAAGCTTATAGTATTTTGATACTTACCTCCATCGCAGTGTGTCCAGAAAAGATCGAGGTACTTCATAATGACATATGTCTCCATATTTAAACACTATGTTTACATTCGCTTCATGTCACAAATATATTGGATTTGGCTTAACACTTTTTCCCAAGTGTTGCAGCTCCATAGCCGGCCCACGTTTTGTTGGGACAGAAGTCAAGCACTTTCTCTACTGTCGTCGGATCCCCGCCACCATCAATCATCTGACTCCACACTTCATTTGGTGACAACCACTATACTCCGGGCACAATTGTTGCAGCCGCCATACGCCACAAGATAGTATGGTTCATATAATCGCCTTTAACATCGCTCGTGAAGTTGTTCCGACACCTACCTATGGCACCATAATTAGACATGGTCTGCTGATTTTCGGGCACCAACATGTTTGCCCATAACATTCTGCCAATGAGCGGACATTCTTCAACTTGCCACGAGCCACCACCAAGATCATCATGTGGGATCCTGCCACACTGTGTGTGTTACATCACTAACTCTTCGCTGTGTGTTCCATCTGACATTTCGTTGTGGAGTTCGGTACAAAATACCGGACAGCTCATGCTGTGACTTTTCCTGCCCAAGACATTGCTAGTGAATTCGTTGGGACCGATGACAAGTGTACTTTTGTGAATGATCAGACCAGATATGGTCATACGAATGACATTTAATCGTCTTTATTACTTTTATGAACTTTAACGGAATAGGATTGTATTGTGTTGTGTTGTGTACATGCTTTGTGGTTTTACGAAGTAACATGGGAGCCATTTTCTTCCCATTTTTCGAACGTACGTTAGTGTAGCTTGGACATGTTTGCCAGTTTCGCGTTTTTGTCCAGATTTCTCTCAAAATTCTCATATCCAAGTCGAGTTCTGTGCTCCTGTATTGCTTCGGGTGTAGATTTGGTTGTCTTTATACACATCGCCTCCATGTACTCATGTTTACTTATTCCGAGCTGTGGGCAGCTCTTGTCCACAGGCGGAGGATGTTATAAGGTTAAAAAAGGCATCTGTTATACAAGAAACGTACCACAAATTCGTTAGTGAGGATTACGGTGATTGCATCAGAAAAGCAATGCTATTACGGCTTGGTAATAAATTAAGGGATCAAACAACAGGATAAATCTCATTGACAGAACAGAAAAGTCCTTCTAGGTATTAATGAACAATGAATCACCGATGAGAGTTTTCAGTAATTTTCCGATCACGAGGCAAGACATGAGACCATGGAATGATGTAAATTTTAACAAATCAGAGGGATTGTATAGGGTCATGTGACAAGGGTGGAGCAGGATCGAACACCTTAAAAAGATACCGTCAGCACTAGAAAGTGGTGGGGTTACAAAGTCAGCAGAACGTTCGCATCGCGATCGATCAGTTCCATATCTAGTGAAGAGCTTGCCCTATCCTGTCCTGACCACGTCACCTTGTAATGAAGAGAGGGATCGAGTAAACCTATGTGAGTATAGAACCTAGTGTTGAGTTATTCCTTGTAATGCCAGAGTGCCAACACATGAATGAAATGTGTTTATTGAGGAGTTACAGTCGTCTGACCTCTCACTCCTAGACTTAACATTCCCCATGGACCAAGCGAGTGTGTAACTTGAGCTTACATCACCCCTGACAATGCGGAACGGCCATCTTAATAGGTAACTGGTTATAGGGTTTACTAACACCCAAATCCCGGTTACGACAGTTTAATGTTCTTGATATTGTAGCGCTTTGAACATACATTATGTATGAAATTCAACGCGATATAAATACATATATTATTATTATCATCATTATGAATTTATTATAATAAATTATGAAAATGTCTTACCTTAATTTTCCAAGCCAGATGTCTTGATGTGATAAATTAAACTCCTACTCTTGCAGAATCATAAAAAACAAGGTAAGTTTGTTTTTTTCTCACCTCCAATTTATAAATATACATATATTTCTTTTGTAAGCTTAATTACCAAGTAATCTATATTTTAAAATGTCAAAAAACAGCTGCACAATTAGTGAAAACATTTATATACTTAATCATATTTCTTTCGCCCGCCGGCTCGCCCAATCTCTGGCTGGTTGAGGATGCAATTGAGAAACGTTAAATGCCTTTAGCATGAACAAAATGCGTGACGGCCGCTCCTTCTGCCGCGGTATCCCAGCACTAGACTGTAGATTTTCTATTGAAGAGTAACATCGAAGTCCTGTCTCTTGCAGCACAGCTTGTATTATGATTAATGCTCATCTTCGCCCGAACAACGTAAATCTCTTTTTAAATGAACAAAAACTAACAAAAGCAGATAGGAAGATTTTCCGATGTGTCGACGTGTTTGAGAAGTAGAAAAACGAACCATTTGAATATCGATGTGTTGTGGGTGTATTACAAAGGTGAAGGTCGGCTAGAATGTTTCCAAATGTTTATTTAGGAAGCAATAACTTAACGCTTCAGCATGAGCAAGTCTTTTACCAAAGCTTATGCCTGTTCTCTTAAGCTTGGTCTTCAGCAACCCATGCATGTCGTAAGAGGCGACAAACGGGAACGGGTGGTCAGGCTCGCTGATTTGGTTGACACATGTCATCGTACCCCAATTGCGTAGAATGATGCTCTTGGTGTTGATCAATGGATTGTCTGGTCCACATAGCTGTAATATTGCTGAATGCTGCGTAAAATAACAAACTAACCAATCATTTTTGGTTTCTGGTTAGATAATGTATGGCTTTCGGCCCTTTTCGCACATTATTGTCATATTAATTTCCTTGATAACATACAAAGTCCAACACTGGCAAGTTGACATGCCACTGATCATATCTTGAACTTTAATCCCATCTCTACCAGCTGAAAGTGTGTCATCACATTACATTAACAGTACTTTAACCCGTGGATCAGTTCTGTTGTTACCAGTCGATTTCTATGTTTGAAATACCCGTGAAGATCCGGGTTAGAATCGGTCTTCAGCAACCCATGCTTGTCGTAAGTGGGGACTAACGGGATCGGGTGGTCAGTCTTGCTGACTTGGTTGACACATGTCATCGTATCACGATTGCGTAGATCGATGATCATTAAGTTGATCACTGGATTGTTTGGTCCTGACTCAGTTGTTTACAGGCAACCGCCATATAGCTGGCATATTGCTGGGTGCGACGTCGAACAACCAACCAACCAACCAACCAACCACAGAATACCGCCAAATAGCGCTAATATTACTGAGTGCGGCTTTAACAACCCAAACTTAACTAAGCCTAAATAAAAATGTTAATTATACTCAAAACAACTTATAATATAGCCTGCAATTTGGAAATATGAAAAAACCCTGTATGAAGTGAGTATGTCCTACCTCAAAATAACACAGCGAAGCATCCTAAAGAGGTCAGTCTATATTCCATGTATCCCATCAGTGACGCACCGCTAATAAAGGCCCTTATTTATAATACCGATGGTCTTAGGTTGTGAAGTGTTTGCAATTTCAGTTATGTCCATGCTGACCAGGTGAATTAAGATATCACCTCGAAGTTTTGAAAGACATGGGTAGGAAGAAATGAATAATATTACGTAAGATTTTTCCCGGAGAGCCTGTTATCATTGTGTACTGTTTGTTGGTCTCTGTGGACGGAGCGTTCATGAAGCCTTAATGCCTATCACACAACGGTTATCAACCTAATAAACTTTAAGTGCACAAATCATTGTTGTTTGTTTGTTGCTTAACGCCACACTCAGTAGTATGATTGGTATTTAACGGCGGTCTGTAAATTATCGTGTCTGCACCAGACAATCTAGACTAACGCTCTGAATATATTAAATTTTGACAGTCACAAATGTTCCCATTTAAAATGTAAAAGACCCCAGTGAGATGTGACATTCAGAACCGGAAATCAAGACTTGCTTTATTTACTGCTTTAGCATTGCAGAAATGTTGGCTGGTTGTTTGATTATTCTGTCATATTGAAATCTATTACATGACATTGTAAACCAAAAGTCACCGTGTTCTTTAATCTGATTGGTTGGAAAACATGATCATATGGTATTCGATTCCCGGAAACCGCAAGTTTATTCGCTGCGTATTGACACGTACAAATATCACACGAGTGAGTGAGTTTGGATTTTACGTCGCTTTTTAATAGCAATATTAAAGCAAAATCACGGCAGGGGACATCAGAAACAATTCATAAGGATATATACGATTTACTCCAAAACTAGTATGGATTATGTCATCTCAGTTTGTTGTTTGGGTACAGTGTCCGTAATCGTGAGTGTGTGAGTTTAGGTTTACGCCGCACTCAGTAATATTCCAGCTATATGGAGGGTGTCTGTAATCAATATGACTAATGACATCGGAATGCCTGTCCTCGTTGGTTGGTTTGTGCGCATTCGGGACCTGGTTGAGAATTTCAAAGGTTTAGTTTTGGGCGTGTTGTCTGCATTTCCAGATTAGACCTACCACTTACAATTATAAACATGATGTCCCACACTGTTCCTCATCTTGACTTGTGGGGGCGGTGGGGTAGCCTAGTGGTTCAAGCGTTCGTTGGTCACGCCGAACAACCGGGTTCGATTCCCCTCATCGATACAATATGTGAAACTCGTTTCTTTGTGCCCCGCCATGATATTGCTGGAATATTGCTAAAAGCGGCGTAAAACTAAACTCACTCACCTTTTGACTTGTACCAAGTGTCCCTGTGATTACTTTTAAGGTAAACACTTGGCTTGCTATTGAATGAGTTTGTTATGTGTCCTGCCAGTGGGGCCGGGGCGAGGTGACCTGGGCTGCTTACGAGCACCCTGTTAATCATCGTTTTGTAGTGATTCAACCCTGAGAGGTCGATAGGGTGCAGTCGACTCAGACAGGTATTTAGTATGTTTATATTATCATGGGAAAGGTTATGCTGCTTTTGTTAACTGCTGAACATGAGAGATAAATTAGTGTTTTTTCTAAGTTTTGTCATGATAAAACTAAATAATGTAATTATAAAAATTGGCATGGCCACATCATGATATTATCATGTCTAATTATTATTTGGTGACTATTACTATCGGGTGGTCAGGCTCCCTGACTTGGTTGACACATGTAATCGAATCCCAATTGCGTAGATCGATGCTCGTCTGGTTCAGACTTGATTATTTACAGACCGCTGCCATATAGCTGTGTGCGGTGTAAAAAACAAACAAATTAACGATACAAACAAACATAGATAATGTAACAGTTTTTTTCTTCTAAAACTTTGAAATCGTTATACTCCTATCATATTTTTTGCTCAATTTGAATCTTAATTCATCAACAGGACGCGAATGCAATTAAACATTACTATTAAGCCTATTTGACGTTTGGCGTCATTCGGACTCATTATGGGACTTGAATGATTGAATATCGTTCATACTTACGACTGATTCAGATACTCCTGGAAGGGTACCGCCGCCATATAGCTTGAATATTGCTGAGTGCGGCGTAAAACTAAACTCCCTAACTGGAAGGGTAAACAAACCTCCAATAATTACACATGATAAAGAGGCATTAAGATATTTCATTTTGCTTTGGTGTATGTTCGCAAAGAAAATGAAGTTTTTATTTGTTCTCATTTTAAACATGTTTTTTCTGATTTCTTAGAAGCATGCGACTCAAAATTCCGCTTTGTCGAATTATCGTGCTCTGATTTTGATAATCAGGACAAGAACGAACTCATAGATGTTTTAAAAGTTTCTGTTTTTTTGAATAAACATTAACATAAAATCGGGAAATTCAAAATCGAATAATATTTGGGCTTTTAAAACCAATTGTGGTGAAATACGTCCATTATATCCCATGTCATAGCTGTACATAAATCTGAAATGAAAATGCCATGTTGCTTAATTTTTCAAAACAGATTCTTTATTTAAGACATTATCAATCTGTCCATGACATGATCATGATTTGTATTGACAATTTTGCTTCTAAAAACACATTTTTAATGTTACTGTTATACTAGTTATAAAAAGAAATCTATAAATATACACGAAGGAGAACATCTGATCTCAATAAATGTACACGTGAATGAACCCGTGAAGGTCCGGGTTAGAACTGATCTTCAGTAACCCATGCTTGTCGTAAGAGGCGACTAACGGGATCGGGTGGTCAGGATCGCTGGCTTGGTTGACACATGTCATCGGTTCCCAATCGCGCAGATCGATGCTCATGCTCTTGATCACTGGATTGTCTGGTCCAGACTCGATTATTTACACACCGCCGCCATTTAGCGGCGTAAAACTTAACTCACTCACTCACTACACGTGGATGAGTGAACGTGATTTTACGCCGCTTTTAGCAACATTTGGGAAATATCACGACATGGGACACCATAAATGGGCTTCATTGTACCTATGTGGAGAATGGAACGCTTTCACCACTACTCGGACGCCGAATATGTAAACTATATGTGGTACATTTTACATAAACTTACGGCTATATATTGGGGTACCGTCGTACTCTTGAGTAACCTGGCGTTTCAGTCCAGCTTCACCTGGAGTTTGTTACAATGTTTGTCTAAGATCTGCTTCAGTGTGAGCCCTACTTCCTCAACACCCCGAGCTGACGGTCTGCGATATAAGCGAAGGTGTGTGTGTGTGTGTGTGTGTGTGTGTGTGTATGGGTATGTATATGTGTGTATGTATGCTAATACATTTACAACAATAACTATAAATTTAGATGCACACTATACATTTGAATATTCATTACTGATGGAAAAATGTAACTTCAAAAGAAGGAAATTGAAAAATTAAAAGACAAATAGAAAATAAGTATATACAGAAGAATATAGAGTATAGAGAAATTCAATAATTATAAGAAATGTAAGAGTCCGTTGCAAATGATTATACAACACTAACATACAGTGCAGTTGCCGATGTTCGCGAAAAGACTGAACACGCAAGGGGATCCCAGGTCTTCACTGCACACGGAAACATAATGGCACAAGTCAAATATGTCGTCGTTTCAGCCATCATCGCTGTTGATTCATATTTGGCAAAGATCTCAGGTCACAAATCAGGTGAAGTTAAGCAACGTTGGGCGCGGAGAGTCCGTGGATGGGTGAAAGTGTTTGGCAGTTTGACTCCTGAGAGTTTCTTGGACCACAACGAAACACGTGTGATACATGTGGTGTCACCTTAGACAAGTGAGTTTATTCAAAATTGCCTGTGTTCACCAAGCAGAAAATGGGTACCCGGTGGGATAAGTCATGTGACTATAACCTTCTAGCGCCTAACAGGCAGCTTGGGTTATCCAGGGTAATAATGTGCTGTGCTATTCATTGTTAGCGCTATGAGCATACCTGGTGTGGAGTTTGGCGCTATATACATGGACACATTATCAGTATTATTATCATTACATATGAAAATCTAATAGCTTCACTGAGGCCTTGAATGGTGTAACGGTGATAAGCCACTTTTGAGGAGCGAATAAGTGTGGTTTTAGTTGCTTCTTGCAATATCACGACGGGGGACACCAGAAATGGGCTTCATACATTGTATATCTGTTGGGAATCGAACCCGGATCTTCTAGGTGACGAGCAAACGCTTTAACCACTTTGGAGGAAGAGTCAAATAACGCTATTTCAACGGAATTGTGGAGAAGGCACGATGAAATGATCCTCAAAGGTTGTAAAATTTAGGCACCAAATTTTGAAGCTGTTTAATTTGGCTGTATATAAAGGGAAAATGATTGGATATAAAATGAAAATGGAAAGTTGAAGGTCTCTTCTGATTATACAGTCTTGTGGATACTTCTGTTTTGCTGGTTTCTTATAAACTCTCCTAGATTGCCAGAAACACCCGGTGTCCTGCTAGACATGTGTAATGATGCGCAAAGGGTGTGATACATTACGCAGGATGTGAATATTTTCCACCGGGAGGTATCCAACCTGCCTGTAGAGGTTCTGGCAATTCCTGTCAATAATCCGAACATGTCCCATACTCATTTTTCCCCGCCATCGTTCTGATGCCTTTTTTGAGTTTTTCCGTTGAGTACAAATTACACATCTTCTATCGCTAGCTGCTGAGGTTAATTTTTTTACTCCAATCTCGGTGTTTTCAGTGTAATTCAGCCCAACAAACTTGTATAATTCTTTTACTTCTGCCGAAGGATTCTGACACAAATCTTCATAAAACAATATTTTAATTCTCGTTTGAGACTCCATATACCACCGTCTTGTCACCTGGATGTCCTCTAATACCTTTTTGCAATACTGTGACGATTCCTCCTCAATGGCGTCCCAAGAGAAGCGGCCGTGTAAAACTTGCGAAAGTAATGTTGCTCTTGGGTCGCGAATGAGATGGAGCACCTTCAGAGATCTGTCTTTGGTAGCAAGATACTTGGCTGAAATTATGGGGAATTCGATTGTCTTTATGACTCCCACCTTAGCGGCCTTGCAGCGCTTGTAGAGGATTGGAATACACTTTAAGATGTTAAGAGCACCAGGATATCTTTGTAAGCAGTAGTGGTAGGATTTGGTGCTGTCACTCGATTGCATGTGATATTGGGTCAGCGTAGCAATGTCAAGTTTGGGAAAATCACAACGGAAAATGCGTCGGATGGTCTTGCCAGCAATTCTGGTGTATATTGAGTCCTTCATGACACTGAAATAGACGAGGGCACAGTAATCAGTTTTACACATTGTATTTATGTGGGATCTTGAACTATGGCCTTTGGTGGATCGAAGAACGATTTAACCTCTTGGCTTCCCGACCGACCCTTCCAATTATATTGCACCCCCCCAAAAACCCGCCCAAACAAATAAAGAAAAACAACAAAACAAAAATATACAAACAAAATTAACCCCAAAACCCAAAACCTTTTTTTTCATTCCAACACCGCCGACTCGAACCTAACATATCACCTCGTCATATAAAATATATATAATGATTATCTTTTAATCAGCAGTCCAGAGAACGCGAGTAATTGTAATAAGAATAAATGAGAATCAAGAACATTATTCAGATAATTTTGTCTTTATAAAAAAAAAAATTTCCGACCGACTGACCCATGTTCAGAATTTGGTGGCTACGTGAAACACCTAAAAAAACTTATGTCCATATATGAAGAAACGCTTGTCCACAGTTTCGTTAGTGAGTGAGTGAGTTTAGTTTTACGTCGCACACAACAATATTCCAGCTATATGGGGGCGGTCTGTAAATAATCGAGTCTGTACCAGACAATCCAGTGATCAACAGCATGAGTATCGATCTACGCAACTGGAATGCAATGACATGTGTCAACCAAGTCAGACCATCCGCTCACGTTAGTCGCCTCTTACGACAAGCATGGGTTGCTGAAGGTCAATTCTAACCCGGATCTTCACGGGTTGATGGAAGAAAAGACGGATCTGTTAGGATCAGGGTTACAATCGGTCTTCAGCAACCCATGCTTATCCAGTATAGCTGACACAGTGCTGAGTGCTGCGTATAGTCCGTTTGACTTCATTTGAGACCGATGAATTACTCACTAACACAAAATCTAATAAATGCAACAAAATCAAACTTTGCACAGTCACATGAAATCGACAAACCAACTCTGATGATTTGTCTCATAATTTTGGACACCCGAATAAAAAGTCGTAAGAAATAGCGAAAAGTGACAACAAAATAATGATAGTTTGTTTAACAACTTTTTTGTGTGTTAGTGAGTAATTCATCGGTATCAAATGAAATCAAACGGACTGTAAGACTAAACTCACTCACTCACTTTTCTTCCTTCACTTACTGGCACAGTTTAGAGAATTGATAGTTTTACTTACTTTCGCCTTGACGTGAGGTATTGAAGATGTATGTTCTCACCCCACTTGTACCATTTCAGATCGTGCAGGGGTTCGAAAACGTAGAACACGTTCGGATCCATCTCGAACAAGTTCCCGGTCAGAGATGAGCCACTGCGCATGTACGTCACAATGAGAAGGTTGGTCCGAGAAGCTGATTTCAATGGGGGCAAATCTCTGGACATCATCAAATCAAGATCCTCGATCACATTGTCTGAAATGTGTACAACCGTTATTTGTTCTTGCCTTTGTCGTCAAGTGAATAGAGTGTCTCTCCGTAGACGAAAGAGCAAACGCACACGCAGACACACGAGCACCCACGCGCACGCATACACGAAACAGAGGGCGCCGTTAAAACATATTTCCTCTCATCTCCACTATATTATGTTTCATAGAGGAATAGTGAGTGAGTGAGTAAGTAAGTGAGTTGGGTTTTACGCCGCTTTTAGCAATATTCCAGCAAATATCACGGCAGGGGACACCAGAAATGGACTTCACACATTGTACCCATGTATCACGGCGTGGGAATCGAACCCGGCTCTTCGGCGTGACGAGCGAACGCTTTAACCACTGGGCCCCACATAGGAGATTAACTCCGTGTCAGTGGATATGCTTGTAGTAGAAGTAATAATAATACAAACAAATCGTGACATCATTTCTTTTTCGGTTTATTGGAACCAAAAATCTGCTTGCTTGGCCAATCTATAACCACGGAACCGTTTGGTATTCATTCAGGAGACTATCTTCTATGATACTGAACTTTCATTTTTAAGCTGACTCCAGTGACGCAACAGTAATACTATTTGCAGTTTAATCCACGGGTCACTCACCCTCTGTGACGGGTAACCTCCCTTTGTCAGTTGACAAAGATGGAGATCTGGATCCAACAGGCGGCATCTCTCTCATCTTCATTTCAACCGACGCTTGCTTTGACACAATGTCTTGCGTTTCAGGTCTCTTTATGGCCATATGAGAAAGTATTTGCGTATGCATAGTAAGATCCTCTTAAAAAAAGAAAAAGAAACGTTTCAAAGAGTTCATGTGAGTTAATTGTTGCTCCAACTTCCGTTTATGTTTGAAGCATCCGAAAATAACTTGGTTCGCTTTCCAGCTCACTTCCACCTTAATAAGATGAATAATGACAGTGTTATCTGAGTGAATGTGAGTGAGTTTATTTTTAGGCCGCACTCGTAATATTACAGCTGTATGGCGGCGTTGTGTAAATAATCGAGTTTGGACTGACAATTCAGTGATCAACAGCATGAGCATCGATCTACGGAATTGGGATACGATGACTTGTGTCAACTGAGTCAGCGAGCCTGACCACTCGATCCCGTTAGCCGCCTCTTACGACAAGCTTCAGTTACTGAAGATCAATTCTAACTCGGATCTTCAAGGGTCCAGTATTTTCTGAACGATATGAATGAAATTAGCGAAAATACGTTAACTGGTCAACTTGATGAAACGTTATTGACCTGAATTGTCAGCATTAGAGAATAATGAACAATACAATTTCTGTATTTCCTCCAGGATTTGATGTTGAAAACTAAACTCACTCACTCCTCCAGGATTTATATCCGAAGATTAACATCTCTGATTTTTCTCAGAGCAAATACACGGCGCTTTATTCTTCACAATGAGGTACACTTTCAACACAACCATTATAGTATATATTTTTTTATCAGCTATTTACTTAGACATGCGAGTGAGTGAGTGAGTGAGTTTAATTTTACACCGCTTTTAGCAATATTCCTGCAATATCACGGCGGGGGGACACCAGAAATGGGCTTCACTTATTGTACCCATGTGGGGAATCTAACCCGGGTCGGAGTGACGAGCGGACGCTTTAACCACTAGGCCACCCCACCGCCCCAACACATGCGAGAGCTATTATGATAAAACAGGGGTAGAGAGTCGATTATTTAATACATTTTTCAAATTTAAGATATACAAAGAATTTTAATGATACCCTTACCCAAGTACGCTAGCTCATAGTGAATGAGTGAGGTTGTACGCTACTTTTAGCAATGTTCCACTAATATCACAGCTGGGGACACTAGAAATGGGCTTCACACATTGTACCCATGGTAAATCGAACCCGGTCTTTCTGCGTGACGAGCGAACGCTTCAACCACAAGAACAAGTTTGTCAATGGTGGTGTATATCCCAACAGCGTAGATCGATGCTCATGCTGTTGATCACTGAATTGTCTGGTCCAGACTCGCTTATTTACAGACCGCTGCCATTTTACTGGAGTGCGGTGTAAAACTATACTTACTCACTCAATGGTGGTGTAACAGAGGTCGTTTCGACTGACAAAATATCCACAGTGTTCAAATACATGTCTGACATAATCAATCAATTATTTATTCAGTAAAATTAAAGCATGGTGACTACAGCAAAATACGTACCCGCATTTAAAGAATAGAATGTAGTCAACACAAATCCAGCTGCAGCGAACATGAGAAAAATCCTCAACGGGGAACATCTGTACAATAGTAAAACAAAAACCATTCAAGTCAGCAAAAATCTGCTCATAATGTTTTGATGATGAACAATTGTTCAAAGAGATAATACATTGGAGATCAATGTATAAGGGATTTACTTTCTAATATAATGGGAAATTAGGTGGAGACATTCCCAGTCAGGGGCGGTGGGGTAGCCTAGTGGTTAAAGCGCTCGCTCGTCACGCCGAAGACCCGGGTTCGATTCCCCACATGGTACGTAACACTGTGTGAAGCCCATTTCTGGTGTCCCCCGCCGTGATATTGCAGAAATATTGCTAGAAGCAGCATAAAACTAAGCTCACTCATTCACTCATTCCCAGTCGTGAAGGGAAACGTAATTCCCTGTGCAATGTTGCGGCGCTTTGGTGCGCCAGAAACCGAATGATTTAGGGTTCAGTCTGGACTGTCCCGGTTAAGATTCTCGGTTAGTCATTAGCATGACCCTGCTTGCTGGTTTCACCAAAGTGGCAAACGTCCGAGGTCTGCATTATTTCAACTTTCCTTCCACATTTAGCTGAAGGCCGTAACATAATTGAAATACTGCTAAATACGGCGTCTATACTAAATCACTCACAACACATGATGCAATTGCAAAGATATCCTCTGTAACGCTGAAACAGACTAAAGATTATACATTTTCCAACAAATTGCTTACAATTTACCTTAAATGCGATTAAAAGTAGGAATTAAAGGTGTTACTCACCTGCATTCCATAATTTACCAAGCGGGATATATCACTTTATATTCCACGTCTTGGTAAAGGTATGCATCTCCCGATGAAACGCCTTCGAATGTCTCTTTTGATTGATATCACCCACTCTTTCATGGCAGTATTGAAGTCTTTTGTACCGAAATGTCACATTTCAGTATAGAAGAAAGAAGCTTTCATCCATAAAATATGTTGCCTTGTCTGATACAGCCAATTCTTGTAGCGACATATGACGCAGAGAGAAAATCGAAATCAATATTCCTTTCTTAACTGATGTTCGGGTTTATGATGGACAGAATCACTTTACACAGTCAGTAAATATCAGACGCGTGCCTATCATTGGAGATGTTGTTCGGTGATAATACGGCCAGCATCTGGCAATCGATTGAGAAATTATATATTCAATTGAAGACGAATTCTTTGATTGATTGCCGATGCGAGTAGTTAAGCTTGGGTATTCAAATTTTGACAATGTATAATTGAATCAGTATCTAAAGCTTTGCTCATAAGAACATAATGTGTTTGTGATATCCGTTTGATGAAATGGTCAAACATAACATACAGAATTTTGTTTTGAATTGTTATGAAAAATAATGAAATCATTAAATGCAATTAAACATGACAATTGTGGGATGTTAAGGCATTTGCATATACATTTATCGCCTGAATTTTTCGTTACCCGTTATTAAATTGACCACGTTCATCTTCCTCAATACATCGTAAAAAGAAATACGTTTGCGTGGAAGGTGAGTTATGGCGATCATACATAGATATCAAGGTTGAATGGCTGGGAAAGGACATGCTTACCCTTTTCGCGAACACCTGGTGTTATCACCGATTTTCCCTGGTCCATTCATCTAATCTTAACCCGTGAAGATCCGAGTTAGAATTGATCTTCAGTAACTGATGCGTGTCGTAAGAGGCGACTAACGGGATCGGATGGTGAGGCTCGCTGACTTGGTTGACACATGTCATCGTATCCCAATTGCGTAGATTGATGCTCATGCTGTTCATCACCGGATTGTCTGGTCCAGACTCGCTTTTTTTACAGACCACTGCCATATAGCTGGAATATTGCCGAGTGCGGCGTAAAAATAAACTCACTAACTCATCTAATTACTCCCTAGTGGAATATATATTATATATTTCTGAGGATTATCAAAACTCAGTATCCTTTTGCACTGATGTTTAATAATCAACATTCGGGCCAATACGTTCCATAATAATGAGTGAGTGAGTATGGTTTTACGCCATTTTTAGCAATGTTCCAGAAATATCACGGCGGATGACATCAGAAAAGGGCTTCACACATTGTACCCATGTAGGGATCGAACCCGGGTCTTCGGCGTGATGAGCGACCGCTTTAACCACTTGGCTAACCCACCGCCCTCTCAATAATGAGACAAGCGATCATTGATAGACATGGATGAAGGTAAACAGATCGTCAAAACTTAGGACTGGTATAATGTACATGTTTTAGTGTGGATATGAGTCTGTATTGCGCTTTTCAAAGCACAGACGTGTCGATATTTATTAGTGTAGGAATATGTTTGTGTACTTGTATGCCCGTAACATATATGCCCGTAAAACTGCTGACAGGTGGTTGGTACTATGTAGTTGAGTGTCAGTTTATGTTTGTATAGGTATATGTTCGTGGCATTACTTGTTCTGTATGAGCAGTAGTTACCTACACTGCCTTAAATTTCAAAAGGCAATTAGTTTACAACGATCCGGATCCTTTTGATTAATCTATATCGGCATTTCTCTGTTTCAACACTGTACTCGTAATTCGTACGCTTCACCAACAACAAATTCAACAAGCATGTACTATCTCTTGAAATCCCGTTTATTCAGTATCTAGCGAAACCTGTTTCCAGTTCATGACATAAGTTCACACTTCAACAATATTTCGAAGAAGGTTATCGAAGTATTGAAATATGTCAATGTCACCTCCTCCGGGGTAGATCTTCAGAGTACCTTCAAAGACGATGTATGGACGGATGGTTCCACTATCGTAACGACGCACACGCATGCTACTGCCGAAATCACTTCGCTTTTGCGGGTAAGTATGCATGTTACTGCGGTAATCAATGTAGTTCAGTCGCTGACTTATCCGGTTAAGTGGATTCCGTCTTTCTTTCCACGGTACCACTCCCGCCAATGCATAAACAAGAAAACATTGGAGAACGATGAACACCTTTATCTTTGCTCTGAAAAACATGTATTCAAAATTTAAAAGATCGATTTTCAGGTAAACCAATGATACACATCATTGTTAGTAAATATACAATAAAAAGACGAAAAAGAAAAGTGCTCTGTTCAAAGGTTACCGTTATTTATAATAACGTTTAAATGTACAGTCCGTTTGATTTCATTTGAGACCGATGAATTGCTCATTAAAACAGGTGGATGTGCGAGTTGCACGTGTGAAACTGAAATTTCACTGCACACGCTCGTTGAATACCTAGCTGATTTACCACCAAGTGGTCCCCCCTAGTAAAACATGCTCATGCTGTTGATCACTGGATTGTCTGGTCCAGACTCGATTATTTACAGACCGCCGCCATATAGCTGGAATATTGCTGAGTGCGGCGTAAAACTAAACACACTCACTCTTATAAATGCACGAATTTGGGTTAGTCAACTTTAATAGTCTAAATACTATATAGTATATGCATGATAATATGTGCACCTTGACACCAGCATTGTACCTGCATGACACGGCCTACTTTGAGGGTTCATGCAAGGGACCATTCATAATTTATGGCTGGGGAAGGGGGTTGGGGTGGTAGAGGTGACGATGGTTTTTAAGGAGAAGCATTTACAATGTGAATGAAACACACACACACACACACACACACACACACACACACACACACACACAGATAGAGGAAAACTACTCTAACAGATGGACAGATGGCTTGCCGTGAAAGGCTATAACTTACATAGCTGAGAAATCAGGCGATTATCGACGTCTTTCTGTATGTATGGTTTCAGGTGAGGTGAGGTGAAATTGGTTTTAACGTCGTGCTTGAACTATATTGACTGTTGTCACTATCCATCCTGTAACAGCCGATATTTCACGCCCTCTAATACTATATTCTCTACAGTACCTCCCACGTGTTGTATGTTCAAACGATCGATGAGAATGTATTGACTCAGAATGGCAGCATGTTACCAATTTATCAATAATATTGTTGAACTGCTCAGCTGAATGTCACACTAAACAATATACACACATTGTCAATGATTTCGCCATAATGCACTACGATTATGTCTCTTTGTAAGTTGATCTTAGCTATTTCGATTATTAATAGTTGTAGATGTATATTTTTTATGGTTTTATCGAAGATATAAAGATTTATTTTTTAAATAGAACAAAACGGAGTCACCAATACATTACAGTGTCTCTGTTGAATCACTGGTCACTTAAATGACGCCACTGAATCATGGTACCGTTTATGTCGAACTGAAGTAACTGGGTTAAACAGTCCAATACTGTTGTGTCGAAGTTAAAGGGACTTACGTAAAAACTTCGAGTTGTCTGAGTTTTGAAACAACCGCAAAATGATGGAACACGCAGGGGGGGGGGCAGTTTTTACTTCGAGACTACCGAAGATTTGACACATCGACTTTGACTGAACAAATTAAGAAAACTTGACAACACTAAGATAGTTTAGTTTGACTTTTCGTAATTACTAAAGGATAAGAAAATAATATAAACACCCTATCAATGATAATTATGAAACTGAAGAAAATATTTACAATAAACTTTATGCGTTTACTGCGTTAAAACACAGTAATACATCGTTACCAAATATATCAACAGATAGTAAAAGTGTAAAGCGATTAATTTATCTTTTCCTATAACGCAATGATTTCATAAACACAAACATCATGTTTTAAACAGTAGAGCATGTTTTACAACATGAGGGTGTGGAGATTGATGCTTAGTACAGTTGCAGGGGACTTGTTGTTACCTAAAGCAGCTTCATGTAGAAGAGTATCTCATTCTTAAATTCAACAAAATGTCTTCTAAGTAAGGATAACTTGATATACTGAGAGAAACAAATAAAGGGACACAGGAAAATTCAAGCGTTCCTTTAATATTTTCCAGTTTTTATCACCAGCTTTGAATAGCGCTGTGAGAGGAAATCTGAAAATAAACAAGGGAACACAGCAATGAAGTGTCGTTCCCTTATTTATGTCCCTCAGTATATATGGATATAAGATAAAGACTTTGCAATGATCTGATTTACTAGCTGCAGTGTATACTTAACAGGCTTCTCTGCTTTATCGTTGAACACTACATCATATATGTATCAATGCCTCGCTTTACTACTCTGTACATCACTTGCTTGATAACGGTATTAGATTCTACACCAAAACATGGCTCCTTATTGTAAATGAAGAAGTTGTTCATCCACATATCTTGTCCTTACTTAGCACTCCAACTTATACATGCCTCTCAAAGAAGTTACACTGTTTTCTGTCTGCACTTTGCTGTGTTACTTAAGTGTTACCAGACATTCTTATTAGTTCATTCGCCAAAACCGACGACACGAAGCAAAAGGACAACCCTGGTCATTTACAAAATGGCCCTATAAGAACAGAACTCACAAATCGTAGGCCATTAACATACCACAGATCTTACAGAAAGTGACTGGTATATTTAAAAGAAAGTGTTTCCACCTCAAGCGAAGCACACGTGCGAAAACCTTAAGCAAGGCTGAATACTGCTAAGTAACCAGAGAACACAGAACTAACCTTGGCATTGCCATGTTCTGGTCGAGGAGACGATCCAGTCAATTCATCAAAAGCCAACAAAGGCAAACATATCATCTCCGTTGCTACATGTAATGGCATCAAACCTTGACACAGAGGGGTCAGGCCAGAAGAGGTACATTTTGCTTAAGGGTAAACTGCGAGTGAAGCGAAGCTAAATACATAGCCGGTAATAGAACGTCAGATCATTAGTAATGTGCAAGAAAGGTATCCTGATGATTCAGTTGACAGGCGTGTGTGTTTGGCATGAATTAATTCAAGGAAATTAAGGAATGTAGCAATATTGACTGATGACAAAGGATATACGAATGTATCAATTACCCAGAAACATATACGTTTTACAGTCATTTGAACGTCATTTCAAGCGTGGCGATAAGATGAGCTTCTTATCGTTGATCAGTTAGTCAGCACATCACAGGCCAGTGGATGGCTGTATGAGGAAAAGGCTGAGAGCCATGTGATTGGATATTTCCGTTAGGGATTAAAGATTAAATTTAAGTATAATTTTTTTCATGGAAGGATAATGAAGATAAAACCGTTTGATAGATATTTACGTTTTTATAAAAAATATGGTGATTAGTCAGACAAAAAAAACCGTGGTAAAAATGCAACGCACGGAAAGCACAACACATCATGTCATATCTGTGGCACATCAGTTAAGTGGTCATGTGCTCACTGAAGGGTATGTATTTACTTCGGGTAATGATTCGCCCAAGGTTCATGCCGTAAGGTACAAATTGTTTAAGTAACATGACTTCAGTATATCATGTGTGTACAAGTATAAGACATCTGCTGATTTGGACAGGTTTTCACGGTTTCTATAATCTTCGTTAAGTCTTCACCGTAAGTATTGTTACAACGTATTTAGTTTCCAGAAACAAAAATGTAGGTGATACAATATATGTTTTGAATGTCAAATGTTCTTCCTTTTGTTAAAATTTTGAAAAATAGCTGACCTGATGAATATTTTGCATATTCGAGTGTAGATGTAGGTGTTCAGTCATTTGATGTTTGATCATACGTTTAGCTTACTTGGCAATTAATATACTTTCATTGTTTTTCACGTTTATTCTCTCTAAAATATACGTAAAATGTTAACACCCAAACAGATTCAGTTCGGTTTAAAAAAAGCAAATATATTGGAGAAAATTACAAGACAGCGATGACATAAGGTATTTGAGAAAATGGTTAGCATGCCCCGTCTACCAGTAGCACAAAATAGTACTGTATAACGTTTCTATGGAAATTTGGACAAAGGTTGTCTGCACGACATTTGTAATTTATTACTCTCCAATGAAGGATCAGGGGCTGCCATGAAGTTCTTGAAAGGCATTTAGAAGTTGGACAAACGTGAATATATGACACATGTTATAGACAACAAATTCCTTTTATTCTTCGTTTCCATAAAACGTGTCATGTATTCAGGCTGCCATACATTCAATTTAGCGCGTTCGCGCATTGAATCCTAACAAATACTGTATTATATTACTTTATCGTAAACTGGCAAAAGATCTTAGTGGATCTACATACATGTATATTTAACGTGTCTATCAGAAATAATGTAATTTCAAACTGTCTGTGGCGACGGATGTCTGAACATCCACCGCTTATACGTAGACTGTGCATCCAGTAGGCCTTCTGGTTCAGAAATATCACCCTATTTCTTGTAACTCAGATGGGATTGATGCTCAAGATCTTTGATGGTACTATGTGTCACTGATCACGGGCTTCAAGCTGCTTGTGCAGCTTTCGGTTCGAAATTACCCTCGGTACTGAGGCCCGAAGCCGACTGAAAACCACTCGGACCCACAGTTTTTGTTTTCTTCAGGTCCTTATGGCCGACAGCTTTTCAGAGTTAAGGGCAAGCACCGTGTTGGTGTGTCTGAGATTCGATTTTATTTCTAGATCTTCGTGACATGGTCGAATATTACAAACAGTGGCGAAAAGCAACAGTCACTCACAAACTCTAAGGCATACATTGTCTGAACAATAAACATAAAACGCTCCTTCTTAAAACCCATGACCTTGCAGATCGCAATCATTGATATTTTTTGAGGCAGTGGGGTAGCCTAATGGTTAAAGCGTCCGCTCGTCACGCTGAAGATCCGGGTACGATTCCCCATATGGGTACATTTCTGGTGTCCCCCGGAATACTGCTAAAAGCGGCATAAACAATCCTCGCTCACTCATTATATTTTTTGATAAAGGTGTCACAATTATTTACTCGATGAACCTCATTATCTAAGATCGTAAGATACTAAATGTCTTCAATAAGAAGGTTCACCTTTATACTCGGCTTCGAGGTGTTGGATGATCAGTAGTAGTAGTAGTAGTAGTAGTAGTAGTAGTAGTAGTAGTGGTAGTAGTAGTGGTAGTGGTGGTAGTAGTAGTAGTAGTAGTAGTAGTGGTAGTAGTAGTAGTAGTAGTAGTAGTAGTAGTAGTAGTAGTAGTAGTAGTAGTAGTAGTAGTAGTGGTAGTAGTAGTAGTAGTAGTAGTAGTAGTAGTAGTAGTAGTAGTAGTAGTAGTAGAAGTAGTAGGTAGTAGTAGTAGTAGTAGTGAGTATAGGTTTACGCCGCACTCAGCAGTGTTCCAGCTGTATGGCGGCGGTCTGTAAATAATCTCGTCTGGGCCATACAATCCAGTGATCAACGATCTACGCAACTGGGATATGATGACACGTGTCAACCACGTCAGCGCGTCTGACCACCCGATCCCATTAGTCGCCTCTTAAGCATGGGTTGCTGAAGATGAGCGTCTCCCCACAGTGATTACAACTAATGATTAAAAAATGATGTACGCTTCCTTCGACAGATTATGAAGTTTGAAGCGTGGTGTTCTGTGGCAGTGCTCGCCTTAGCTTGTGTCCTGCAAACCACTGAAGCAGTGTCCACTGTGGAAACCATGTCACCATGCCCTGGAGAGAAGCCCTTTAAACCCAGGTCAGCCATTGCTCTTGAGAAGTTCGAGAGCAAGAAGAAGTCCAAAGTCAGGACATCAGCGTCCGTATGAACCCCGAAGGAGAATCTTTAACGGGGCAGCATACATATAAACGTTCGACGGACGGAAGGAAATGGTAAGTGTACATCCAGAAACGACCCCAGCCCTTTGGTGAGCACCTGGATGCTTGAAGCATGAAGCAACCACAAGGATCCGTAATATTTGTAATACCTCCCTCAATTATTACAATATGCTACATCAATATGATTGCATGTAATACAAGTTTTTAAACGTCTTTTGAAATTGTTTTTCAAATTAAAAGTTTCGATATATCCACTTGATTCTGTGTAAAACGTATAAATGAACAGAATCTACTTACCTTATGAATATGCAAACTGATTAACCTATGAATATTTCTTGTTTCTATCCACAGACAGGCTTCAATATCAGACTAAGAGGACGTGTCGTTTTTTCCGTTGAGTGAACTATCAAACCAGTGAGACATAATTCAAAAGATCATTAAAATGGACATTAAAATTCATTTTTAGAGTGTATTTCTTCTTATTGTTGTGCTCTGTCTTCAAACATTCTTATGTGCATGAGAAGCCTATTTCTGGTGTGCCCGTGAAGATCCGGGTTAGAATTGATCTTAAGTAACCCATGTTTGTCGTAAGAGGCGACTAACGGGATCGGGTGGTCAGGCTCGCTGACTTGGTTGACACTTGTCATCGTATCCCAATTGCGTAGATTGATGCTCTTGGTGTTGATCACTGGATTGTCTGGTTCACATAGCTGTAATATTGCTGAATGTTGCGTAAAATAACAAACTAACCAATCATTTTTGGTTTCTGGTTAGATAATGTAATGGCTTTCGGCCCTTTTCGCACATTATTGTCATATTAATTTCCTTGATAACATACAAAGTCCAACACTGGAAAGTTGACATGCAACTGATCATATCTTGAACATCATTACCAGCTGAAAGTGTTTCACTACATTACATTAACAGTACTTTAACCCGTGGATCAGTTCTGTTGTTACCAGTCGATTTCTATGTTGGAAAGACCCGTGAAGGTCCGGGTTAGAATCGGTCTTCAGCAACCCATGCTTGTCGTAAGAGGCGACTAACGGGATCGGGTGGTCAGGATCGCTGACTTGGTTAACACATGTCATCGTATCCCAATTGCGTATACCGACGCTCATGCTGTTGATCACTGGATTGTTTGGTCCAGACTCGATTATTTACAGACCGCCATCACATAGCTGGAAAATTGCTGAGTGCGGCGTTCAATTCTTACCCTGATCTTCACAGGTACTCACCACCACGAGAGTAAATACGATGTAAATATGGGAATTCGAACGTACAGGATCCTACAACGCCCTTACTTTGATTCCAGTAAATTACTTACGTTAGAAATATTCGTGACAGAACTCTTTCCATTATCGTAAGATGTCTTTGCTTAAAACAGCGTCTATTATACGATTCCGAACACATACTAGGAAAACCAAATAAAGGAACACAGGAAAATTTAAGCGTTTCTTTAATATTTTCCAGTTTTCATCACCAGCTTTGAATAGCGCGGTGGGAGAAAATCTGTGAATACATAAAGTAACACTGCCATGAAGTGGTGTTCCCTTATTTGTTTCCCTCAGTATAGTACAAGCATGTGTTTATAAATCACTGTCAGGTGTTGGCGATAAGGCGAGCGCCCCCTGCACCATAGGTGGCACCTTCACCTTCGGAAACTACCACATGTCGCGGATGACATTTGATTATAATTTTGACAAACTGTTATCATATGGACCTTCGATAAAACAAACACAGAGAGAGAGAGAGAGAGAGAGAGAGAGGAGCCTTGCAGAGGATTTAGACTCGAGAGAGAGAGCGAGAGAGTGTCTTCGCAACAGAACAGCAGAGGCGTTTGCTTTAATATCAGTCACTGGCCTGCCCCCACGCGAGTGGTTAGACTCGGAGACTTGCGTAAGTGTCTTCGCAACAGAACAGCAGGGGCGTTTGCTTACAATATCAGTCACTGGCCTGTCTGTCTCGAATAGTTACATGTAGTTGTAAGTACACTGCTACTACTGCTACTACTACTACTACTACTACTACTACTACTACTTATACCACGATACCAATATCACATAAAAAAATCGTGTCTATTCTATGAGGACTAAACCCATATCACTGCGTTACCTACAGTAATGTTGAACGCTACATTGAACCCATGTCACCTCGCTTTATTGTCATCTAAGGTACCAATGAAAATTAAACACAAGGTCTTATTGTCCATCACTACGATTCTGGCGTTTCCATGCATTTACGTTACTGACATCGACAGCTGTATGTAAATAAAAAAATCACATATTTTGACATTTTGTATTTATTTCGCTCTGAATGTTCCAGACAGATAAAGACGAAGGCTGGTGAGTCCCTCGTCATCCTCACCATGGCCGTGGGGGTACTCTCAGGAGGGTGTGTCATATCTGTACCCCCTCCGGTAGAAAGGTCGTCTTGGGTAATACCTCAGTGGCCTTGGGTCGGGTTTCGGTTTCGGCTCCTCACAGTTAGGTTCAATAGGCTTGATATTGTCCTGAGCAAATTCGTTCAAAATGTCGATTTTGGGCGCCAATTTTCCACAATCCGGATCTGTCCGGTAGTAGGTCTCTGCCGCAGTAACTGCAACCATGAGAACAACGACGACGGCGACAGCCCGCAGGTACATGGTCCTAGAAGTACATCACAATGACACTACAGATATCAATTTTTCAGTTTCTTAATGTCTTTGTCAGTGACGAGTTGAGCTTTCATGCAGATATCTAGCGACATATTAATCAATATATGTCGCTGCATATTGAAACGTGTCCATATATCATGATTTAACATCAACTCCCCTCAAATATATCTTCATGTTTGAGCTCAACAGCTTTAGCCAACTTAATATTTGCTTCAGCCCACTGACCATTAAAAGTTACATTCACATGCAGTGATTTAACAAGTATTTAATGCTTGACATTGGCAAGTCTAATGTTTACAGTACACAAATATACATTTGCACAGTTGCATCGGTATTTCAGAAGACAATACAGGTGTAATTGTATACTTGCTTACATGTTTACCGACAGCGGTCATATTTGTATATGTATGCTAATAGTTGTCTATAATGTATACCGGGGATGGTGTGAGACTTCACATCCTACAAGTTCACATTTGTCAAGTCAATATCTAAAGGTTATGTTCATGCAAAGTGAATAATGATAATGCTTGGTAAATAGTATCACAGTAATTTTAAGTGAAGGCATTTTACAACCATGTTAATTCAAGTCATTAAATAACATCAAGGTAAAATGAAAGTATTAGATATACATTGTACATGTATGATCTGAATGATGTATTTCGAACGCTGAAATGGACTTACCTGTGAATAAAAGCGATGATGTGCAATAGTCTGCGTTCAAAATAGATAAGTTGGTTTAATGCTGAAAACAAGGTTATAGCAGATGAGATATGCAGCTCGGGCACCTGGGGCATACCTCATTTGTGACGAAGCATCTTATCATTCCAACTATGTTAATGTCTATACTTGATATAAGAATAACTTAAGAATAGCGCCCAGTCCACGTTATCTGTATGGCGATCAAATATCTCTAATTGTCCGGATATTATTCTTCCAGTGGATTGATTTTATCACTAATGATGGTTTAGTGCAGTGCATATTTTTATCATTTTAAACAAACAAGGCTTGTAGCACAGAGTTAGTGAGTGAGCAACGTCTCATCAACCAAATATACCCATAAAACATAGGTAAAAAGTAATAAAACGCTGTATGTATATCATCAAAAACATCAGTAAAACCATCAACTCGAGGATGGTTTTACTAGGGGGTAACGAGTGGTTGAATTATCATTGCATCGTCATAGCTATGACTCGATATCAGTCCATCGATGAAAACATACATGAGACACAGTGACGACATAATGACAATATGAGAACAAATTGATAACCAGTATTGAGACACGTAGTTCGGATAACTCTCATGGTAATTGATAAGAGATGTCTGATATCAGGGATACTTCTGTTAACACTCTAGCATTCTGATATCAGGGATACTTCCTTTATGACCCCATTCTGATATCAGGGATAGTTCCGTTAACTCCTTATTCTGATATCAGGGATAGTTCCGTTAACACCCTATTCTGATATCAGGGATACTTCCGTTAACGCCCCATTCTAATATAAGGGATACTTCCATTAACACCCTATTCTGATATCGGGGATATTTCCGTTAACGCCCCATTCTGATATGAGGGATGCTTCCATTAACACCCTATTTTGATATCAAGGATACTTCTGTTAACACCCTATTTTGATATCAGGGATACTTCCGTTAACACCCTATTCTGATATCAGGGATACTTCCGTTAACGCCCTATTTTTATATCAGGGATACTTCCGTTAACACCCATTCTGATATGAGGGATACTTCCGTTAACACCCCATTCTGATATCAGGGATACTTCCGTTAACGCCCTATTTTTATCATATCAGGGATACTTCCGTTAACACCCATTCTGATATCAGGGATACTTCCGTTAACGACCTATTCTTTATATCAGGGATACTTCCGTTAACGCCCCATTCTAATATAAGGGATACTTCCATTAACACCCTATTCTGATATCGGGGATATTTCCGTTAACGCCCCATTCTGATATGAGGGATGCTTCCATTAACACCCTATTTTGATATCAGGGATACTTCTGTTAACACCCTATTTTGATATCAGGGATACTTCCGTTAACACCCATTCTGATATCAGGGATACTTCCGTTAACGCCCTATTTTTATATCAGGGATACTTCCGTTAACACCCATTCTGATATGAGGGATACTTCTGTTAACACCCCATTCTGATATCAGGGATAGTTCCGTTAACGCCCTATTTTTATATCAGGGATACCTCCGTTAACACCCATTCTGATATGAAGGATGCTTCCATTAACACCCTATTTTGATATCAGGGATGCTTCCGTTAACACCCTATTCTGATATCAGGGATACTTCTGTTAACACCCTATTCTGATATCAGGGATACTTCCATTAACACCCTATTTTGATATCAGGGATGCTTCCGTTAACACCCGTTCTGATATCAGGGATACTTCCGTTGACACCCATTCTGATATCAGGGAAACTTCCGTTAACACCTATTCTGATATCAGGGATGCTTCCGTTAACACCCTGTTCTGATATGAGGGGTACTTCCGTTTACACCCATTCTGATATCAGGGATACTTCTGTAAACACCCTATATATAATATATACACACACTAGTACTCACTATATACCGACGGATCATTGAAATTCAAATGATGAACACCAGGTGTTCGCAATAAAGTGAAGGAAATTGTTGCTAAGAAAATGTGAAAATGTTTTTACATCACCCTTGAGTTGTAAATCGTGAGTTTGTAACCAAGAAATGTAAATAATATAAATAAATGAATCCAAGAAGATCAACTACTGGAAAACATCTGCAATGGTTGCAGTGTCC